AGAAGGTCTTCCCATTCTCCACCAGAGAGAAGGTCTTCCCATTCTCCACAGGCAAAGCTACTCCAAGGCATTTCACAGTGGCCTTCTTAGCTCTCCATCCCTGAGACCCAGCATCAGTTGCCTTTTTATGATCTTCTTTATTTTGGTCACTGGTGCGGGAAAATTATCTGTATTCTGTCAAACATGTATTTTAATAAAACGCTGATTGGCCAGGCATAGGTGGGTCAACCAGACAGGAAGTAGAGGCGGGGCTATGAGAACAGGAATATTCTGGGAAGCAGGAAGCTCCCTCTGCCAGTCCTGCTCAGATCACCAAAGAAGCAACATGTGAGCTGCCCAGCTAGAAAAGGTAATGAGCCATGTGGCTAACGTAGATAAGGATAATGGGGTAACATAAGTTATAAGAGCTAATACTGACCTAATGGGCCAATCAGTTTATAACATAATGTAGACTCCATGTGATTTTCTTTGGGACTCGCTGGTTGTGGGGTACCGGGCGGGACAGATACCCCAGCCAGCCAGCCCTCATGTTACAGGTCACCTTTTACTTAGGGCCTCAACCTGTCTGGGCAGTTGAGTCTAAAATGCCATCTGTGAAGGTTAAGTGAAGGTTGGAGACGGTGGCCTATGTCTGCAATCTTGGCACTAATGTGGGGATTCACAGAGGTGAGTGCTGTTCCATCTTGACTAAAGGTCAGAGAGTTTGAGTTTATTTTTACTCTTTCAGAGTTGTTGACAACAGGTGTGGCTACAAACAAGAAACCCTGACCTACGGTGTGGTTACTTGGTGTTTTGGACATTAAGATGGCCCAGAGAGGTGAATCTGTTCCACCCTGACCAAAGGTCAGAGAATTCAAGCTTATTCCTGCTCCTTTGTTTGAAAGCAGAAGGTTTGACATAGGGAGTGGACACCTACAGGATACTTAGTCTGGGGTATATTTGCTGTATATCCTGCCCAAAACATCAGAATGCTTAACTCAGAAAATATTGGCTTGATGTCTCAAGTATTGAAGCAAGTAACCGTTCTGGTTGTCCTCTGTATCATGTTAAAGCAGCCTTTTGCCTTCTTCCCCCGCCTCCTTTTTGTATTGGGGTATATAAGTGTATGGAAAATAAACGCGGGCAAATTCAGTATTCAAGATTCACTGAGTTGCCTCCGGTACTATCCTGTGTCTCTGTATTTCTTTTGTATCTCTGTCTGTTCTGCCTGACATTTCTAACCCACACGCCCCTATCCTGGGACGTATGAACTCGTCACACTAAGAAGGACCCCGGCACACTAAGGAGTCTAAAGCAGGGAGATCTTGAGTTTCCCAGTCAGTCCAGGTTAGCTACACAGCGTGATCCTTTTCCTGATCCCAATTCAAACAACAACAACAACATTGAATGGGGAGAAGTGCCTTAATCTATGATATTACCCACCTCCTAAGTATACATTATCTGCTGAAAGCAAGCCATGTCTCAGATGGTTTGGTCAAAAAGTGACCCCTCCACCACTTGAGCTCTGGAAGATGTATCTACCTCAGACCTCCATGGATCTCTACTTGGTCAGGTCCAATTTTGTCACCTGAACAGTGGGGAAGAGTTGAATAATCATGCTGTTTTTTGTCCTTCTTTCTGGGATGTTGGCAGAATCTGGCAGAGATGTGAGGAAGTGCACTGTAGGCTGTGTGGTAGCCCGAGGAGTTCTAAGTCTATGACAGCAGCTTGCTCTTCCGGAATAGACATTTATTTTTCCTTCAAAGTTAAAAAGGAAAAGAAACATCACACCATCACAGACAAGAGCCACCTCAATTGGGGAAGAATCAGAAAAGAATAAAGAAAAGTACGAGCTACCCTTTCAGGGTACAGAGCATTCTTGTTCTAGGGAAGAAGGAAAACAACATAGTGAGAAATGACCTTCCCTAAACCCTGTACTTAATGAGCTTAAGTTGAGATAATCAGATATTAATTATTATAATCATTTGGGGTTTTGAGTGATGGTCTCTACTTTGTAAAAATAGAAATTAATCTTCCATAACTTTCTGAAGTTTCTGGGATATTCTTTGGAAACACTCTCAAGTTCAGAAGACTGTGTTAAGTTTGCTGCTGTGGTAACTCTCCCATCAAAGAGCAATCCCTGCTAATCCAAATAAAACTGCCCGTTGTTCTATATGAACAACAATGTGCACCAGTGACTTGCCTTGTTGTTGTGATAAAATGCCCCGACAAGAGCTACTTAATGGAGAAAAGCTCTATTTGATTCACGGTCTAAGGTACAGTCCATCCATCTTGTTGGGAAGTCGTGGCAGTTGGAGTTTGAGTGCTAGTCACACTGCAACCGTAGTCAGGAAGCAGAGAGAGGGGAATGCCGTTGTTCACTTCTTCCCCTTTTTGTTTAGCCCAGTACTGTAGTCCATAGGACAGCACATGCCTATGCTTAGGGTGGGTCTACCCACTTTAACTTTTCTAATCTAGGAAACTGCTTGCAGACTGTCCCTGGGGGTTAGGCTAGTCTAGAC